CCCTCCCCTCTCCCCCGCTAGCTTTCCTCCCCCTCCGCCTCCCCCCACTAATCCCATGCCCCAGGCGCCGTCGGAGTCAATGCACATGGCTGGAAAAAGCCCCCCTCCCCCAGCCAAACCCAGAAGGGCTCATCCCCCTCCCCCTTTGGAGCCCAATTCGCAGGGGTCTGCACAGGAGAAGCCCAGAGTGCAAGGAGCCCAGAGGGGCGTCTCTGGCAGAGCCCAGCGTGGTCCCGCCGCTCAGGGTGCCAATTAAGACGTCCAGCCGCGTCCTGTCTCCGCTGCTCCCGCGCAGCCGGAGCTCCGGCACGGCCAGAGCCAAGGCATTAGCCTGGCGAGGGGCGGGAGGCAGGCTGTGCCGAAGGGACTGCGGGCGAGGAAGTGCAATTGGCAAATGTGCCGAATTGGTCGGGGCGCTGCAAGATGTGCCGTGGTGCATCCCTTGCCCTGAGCATGCCGAAGGGCGGGGAGCGTGGTGGCCGAAGGAGCGGGAGCCTCCTTCGCTCCTGAGTCGTCAGGCAAACGGGTGGCACATTTTAATTTGTCTCGTGGAAATAAAGCTCTCCCAGACGACTGCCGGATTAGATTTACGGGGCCCACGTCCCCCCTGGAGTCACCCTACTGCCATCGATGGGCTTTCGCCGGGGCTGGGGTGGGCTAGTAATAGCTTATGTGTTACAAACCGAACAGGGAGGGAGGAAGGAGGAGATTTCTAGCCTAGGTGAGACCAGTGGTCTGGCTCCATCAGCCTCCTGCGTCGGATCCAGGTTTCAGAGGAAGGTAAAGAAAAACCGCTGGAGGGAGTTAGGAGATAAACTGTCTCTAGAGAGCATTCCCACCTGACCACGCCCTGCTCCGCACAAAGTTGCCTTAAGCCCCGAAGCAGAAGGGTTAAGCAAGAGCGAAGGTGCTTTCTTATTCTTGTTCTGTTCACTGTTTGATTTCTAGATGCTCCTCTCTGTTGGTTCATTCGAGCCGGGCACAGATGAGAAGTGATTTCATCTGACTTGTCCTCGCCCGGGACCAACGGCACCATGGAGATGGAGTACGAGCTGCCCAACGTCACTGCCTTCTGGTTCTCCTCAGCCCCCCAGTTCGACAACTTCTCTGCCGAGACGTCAGCCAACACCTCCCAGAATATTACGGGCCAGCATTTTGACCTGACCAGCAATGCCATCCTGACCTTTATCTACTTTGGGGTGTGCATCATCGGGCTCTGTGGCAACACGCTGGTGATCTACGTCATCTTCCGCTATGCCAAGATGAAGACCATCACCAACATCTACATCCTCAACCTGGCCATCGCCGACGAGCTCTTCATGCTGGGGCTGCCGTTCCTGGCCATGCAGGTGGCTCTGGTCCACTGGCCCTTCGGCAGAGCCATCTGCCGCGTCGTCATGACGGTAGACGGGATCAACCAGTTCACCAGCATCTTCTGCCTGACAGTCATGAGCATCGACCGGTACCTGGCTGTGGTCCACCCCATCAAATCCGCCAAGTGGCGCAGGCCCCGAACCGCCAAGATGATCAGCGTGGCAGTGTGGGGGGTTTCCCTTCTGGTCATTTTGCCCATCATGATCTATGCTGGGATCCAAAGCAACTACGGAAGGAGTAGCTGCACCATCATCTGGCCAGGCAAGTCCAGCGCGTGGTACACTGGGTTCATCATCTACACCTTCATTCTGGGCTTCCTGGGGCCTCTCGCCATTATCTGCCTTTGCTACTTGTTCATCATTATCAAAGTCAAGTCCTCTGGGATCCGCGTCGGCTCCTCCAAGAGGAAAAAGTCGGAGAAGAAAGTCACCAGGATGGTCTCCATCGTAGTAGCGGTCTTCATCTTCTGCTGGCTTCCCTTCTACATCTTTAACGTCTCCTCCGTCTCCATCCGTATCGTACCTACGCCCGTCCTCAAGGGGATGTTTGACTTCGTTGTGGTCCTCAGCTATGCCAACAGCTGTGCCAACCCCATCCTCTACGCCTTTTTGTCCGACAACTTCAAGAAGAGCTTTCAGAACGTCCTCTGCCTGGTGAAGGTCAGTGGCATCGATGATGCAGACAGGAGCGACAGTAAGCAAGACAAATCCAGGCTAAACGAGACCACAGAAACTCAAAGGACCCTACTCAATGGGGACCTTCAGACAAGCATCTGAAAGGATGCCAGGAGTGCCCGTCTCCTCTGTCGTCTTTCCTCCCTCCCCCCCTTTATATGGCAGTGGCGCATAGCAAGTCAGGTCCAGAGTATTTGGTCTTCGTTTGCTTAGTGGACGGTGATGTGGAGGGCGGGGGGGGCTGTGCCAAAAGTAGCCACTCTGCACGAGGCAGGCGGGGTTGTTAATCTCCAGAAAGATGCCTCTTAAATGCAACTTTGTGCATGGAAAACCAGACACGCCCACTCGTGCCGGGTTAAACCTCCAGTCCTGGGCCAAATGCATTCCTGTGGCAACTGCCCGCATTGCCCCGGTGCGTTGCCCTCAGAGACGTGTTAGGACATAACGGAGCATGTTCACACATCTCTAGCCACACCCATGGAAGGTGGCAGATCCTGCCTTGTGCACTAGCGGGGCAAGTGTGCCACAGGGCAGCCCGGGGAGGCATTGCTGCTCGATTTGGTCGCACATCCCGGCGTGCCCCTCGCAGCATAGACCAGAGGTCTTTAGACAGACCTGTTCATGTCCGTGTCTGAGCAAAGCAGGAGACTCAGCGGGTAAGCTGAAAACGGGAGCAAGCGGACCTAAGAATCAGACAGTAAGACATGGAGAATATTTAATTCTGTTACCCAATCAGTAAAGGTTTCATTTGTTAAGAACGCCTCTCCTGAAGCTCCCCTACTTTCCGGAGACTGTTCCCGCCTTTATTTACAAGTTGCATCGCCTGCTGCTGGAAAAGCAGCAGAACAGGATGAAAGAGATGCCATCTGATGGCAAACAGCCCAGCCCCAGTACAGCCTGTGAAGATGGATAGAGCTGACTTAGATTTGCACAGGTCTCCTAAGAGATTTGGCACCCAGCTCCAGGCAGCCTGGAATAATCTGTTTGTTTACACACTGGTGCCGTCAGATGCATACTGGTGGGATCTAGATGAGCAGTTACGTTTGTCGTGCACCTGTGATCAGCTGACCTGGACTCTGCCCACCAGTCGGCCCCTCTTTCCAGGGCTATGTCTCACCTCCCAGACCTTCCCTTTAGATTAACTTGCCACAAAAAAAATCTTTCCTCCTTTCCCTCACCTCTATCATTTTTCCCCTTCCTTCTCCTGAAACGAATGAGAGAGCCCGCTCCAGGAGGCAGCACAGACCACGTTCAGGCGTGGGCTAGTGATGGGTTGGAGTTTCCATAGTCATGCAGCTACTGCTTTTCTGGTTTTCTTCAGTGGAATATAGCAGGGACTTTTGGAGAGGAGGTTGCCCGAGAGGCATCTTTCACATGGACAATCCCTGCACTTTTTCAGTCGTCAGAGAAACAAGCCCAGATGGGAAGGGCCTTTTGGGTCGAGCATTCGCGATGCTGTCACAGAAACACCGACCTGAATACTTCAGGCGTCTGCGTGCTGGGTTTGGCGTTATTACACGCAGGCTCGTGCTCGCCTGCTCTCTCCGGCTGCTCGGCGATACGTGTCACTCCCACGTACACGCTTGCTGTGGATGGTTCTGGACGAGGGCTGGCAAGCAGAGACTCTGCGGGTTGCAATTTGCAAGCAACCTGCCATCGGTTCTTCTGTGGTGGACGCTTGACGTTGTCATTGCTCCGAGCATGGACATGGCTTGGACGCTGCAGATGTTGTTTAAGGAAGGTACCAAGGGAGAGGCTAAAAGACACTGGATGACTCGATGTAAAATGTTGGCAGATGCCAGGCAGGGTTGGTGAGGGCTTGGTTCTAAAATCCAGGCACCGGTGGAGGGGTGTGGTGGGCTGGGATGCTGGGGGAGCAGGCTGGGGGGGGGGTCCTGGCCAAATTTTCATCGGTTAGTGGTGTAAATGTGGAGTAATTCTTCAGAAAGCAGTGCCGATCTTCTCCGTACACATGAAGGCAACTGAGTCGCCGGCAGCTGTACAGTGCGTGGGGGAGACTGGAGCTGCTAAGCTACTATGGCGACAGGTGTAAATATGCTAGCTGGATCAGAGAGGATTGCGTGCTGAAGGCCAGAGCAACCGGTCATTGCTGGGTTCATCTGTAGAGAAATCTACTGATGCTACTCGGATCTGCTCCTCACCCCATCAGAGTGGAAACCCTGGGGATTAAGGAGTCAGATCGAGGGAAGAAAAGAACAGGCTTTTCCCCCCCCTTTAAATCACCAGTAGGTCCCAGATTGTACCCACATAACCAGCAACCTCAACCTGGTCTCTTGCAAGAGGTGCTTTGGGGGTAAGACACAGCCCTGGGGAGATGCGAGAGGCCTCTGTGGAAGCACTGAGGGCTCTGAATGTTTGCTCTCCAGTGCTGTGGACTGCTAGAGAAAAGATGCTTGAATTACGGCCAGGTAGCTTTCAGAGGGGAAGTCCACAGATCACATTTACAGGAGGAAGAAAGCTTGTTCTCTCGCCAGTCGTAGGCATTTTGGCAAGGTTGTCAGCTTAGTGTCTGCAAACCTTACAAATAATTAGACACACGCCTCTGGTGAGGTTATTTCCCCACCCACACATGAACACTTTACTGATGACTTGGACTTTTCGGCTTAGAAAAGAGAAAACTAAGGGGTCTTGTTTACAGAGGTCTGTAAAATCTTGACTGGTGTGGAAAAAGTGAATAACGAAAAGTTATTATATTATTCCCACAATATAAGTACGAGGGGGTCACCAAATGAATTGAACAGGCAGCAGGTTTAAAACAAAGCAAAGGAAGTTTTTCTTTCATTCAGCACACAGTCAACCTGTGGAACTCCTTGCCAGAGGATGTGGTGAAGGCTAGGACTTTAACAGAGTTCAAAAAAAGCTAGATAGATTCATGGGAGTTAGGTCCATCAGTGGCTATTAGCCAGGATGGGTAGGAATGGTGTCCCTAGCCTCTGTTTGTCTGGAAATGGGTGACAGGAGAGGGATCACATGAGGATTACCTGTTCTGTTCCCTCCCTCTGGGGCACCTGGCATTGGCCACCTACACCACACCTCCCAAACCCACGTGTGGAACTCCGGGCTAGCATCCACATTCCCTGTCGAACTCGGCTTGACTCCCCTTTGCACAGAGCCTGGTCACGGTCATTGACAGCAATGCAAACCAAGCGCAACAGGGTGGACAGAGCTGCGTAGCTGGCACAGTAATCATTCACCCCGGCGTTCATCGCTACCCATGGTGCGTGGCCAGGGAGAACCTGGGTTTGAAGCAGGCTAGCATTCTGCTGGTGCAAAGCAGAGTTTCGCACGGTCGGCTGCCATCAAACGAATGTGCCTTCATTTGTGTTGAACCAGACTCTTGATATGTTCTTCTCTGAGGAGTTTTCCTGTATACAATGCCTGTTCAAGGGCAGAAATTCTGCCCTCAGGTACTGAAATGCAACCCCATTGCCTTTGTGGGGGTGTTAATCGAGGGTACGTCTCGGCTCTCATACGTAAGCAATTTCCCTCCTCTTCCCACCTCCCCGCCACCCTGTCTTTTCAAACACAGGAGAGAGACCAAGGAGTTTCACCCCTGCAGCCCTTAATCTCACTGCGGGCCATTATCTCTGGGCTGTCTGCGAGTTATGCCATTATATTCCATTTTTATAAGGAAGTAAATATTGACCAAGGCTTTGTGACAACAAATAAAACATACTATTGATGCTCGGGGGATTTAAACCAAGAGGAACGTGTCACATTAAAATGAAATATTAAGTCATGATTGCCAGGTGTGACGCAGCCGGGAGCCCTTTGTTAGGTGAGGGGTTAGTATTACAGCTGGGTTTGAGGTGCTGAATACCTTGTGGGGGGCAGAGGAGTAATTTGTATGGCAAGGAGACAGAGGTCTGTTTCAGCCACTCTCTACTGAGCCGTTTGCAGGACTTCCGCAGAAACCTGTAGCGAGCGCAGCTTTATCCCAGAGCCTGCTAGCACGTTGGGTAGGACGGCGTCATGTATCCTGTCTGCCTGCAGAAATGGCACCTCTTAGGCTATGTCCACGCTCGCGGCTTCCTGCGCAAGTATGGCAGTTCTTGCGCAAGAATCCGCAGAGCGTCCACACGGCCCGCCCGCTCTTGCGCAAGGAAATTTACAGTACGGCGTGGTAAGAGAGGGCTTCTTGCACAAGAGCTATGCTCTTTTTTAACAGGTGTAAGCCTCTTGCGCAGGAGCTCTTGTGCAAGAGGGCAGTGTGGACGTTCGGCCGGGGTTTCTTGTGCAAGAAATCCCTATGGCTAAAATGGCCATCAGAGCTTTCTTGCGCAAGAGAGCATCCACACTGCCATGGATGCTGTTGTGCAAAAGCACATGGCCGTGTGGACATAGCCTGAGAGAGCTGCTAATGGGCCGCTCCAGTTTGTTTACTTACCAGCTTTGCAGCCACAGAGCCTTGTGGCTCCCATTGTCTCTGGTTTTCTGTTTACGTTGGGTAGGACGGCGTCATGTATCCTGTCTGCCTGCAGAAATGGCACCTCTTAGGCTATGTCCACGCTCGCGGCTTCCTGCGCAAGTATGGCAGTTCTTGCGCAAGAATCCGCAGAGCGTCCACACGGCCCGCCCGCTCTTGCGCAAGGAAATTTACAGTACGGCGCGGTAAGAGAGGGCTTCTTGCGCAAGAGCTACGCTCTTTTTTAACAGGTATAAGCCCTCTTGTGCAGGAGCTCTTGTGCAAGAGGGCAGTGTGGACGTTCGGCCGGGGTTTCTTGTGCAAGAAATCCCTATGGCTAAAATGGCCATCAGAGCTTTCTTGCGCAAGAGAGCATCCACACTGCCATGGATGCTGTTGTGCAAAAGCACATCTCGCACATGGCAGTGTGGATGTTTGCTTGTGCAAGAGTTCCTGCACAAGAACCCTTGCACAAGACGCCGCTAGTGTAGACGTAGCCTTAGAGTTTTAAACCAGCGGAAATGACGGGACCTCGCTTCTGTCAGTGTAAACGGGACTTAATGGCAATTTAGTTTCCACCCGCTGCCGGCCGACTTAGACCAATCCAAACAAGACTCTTGGTTTTACACGAATAGGAGGCCCCAGTTTGGTTTTAAATCGCAAATGAACAAATGCAGTTTTGCTGGAGTGGACCTGGGGAAGAAGAAGGAAAGAGGTGGCTGGCTGTGATGTGTGTTGAAGAGCAAAACCCTTTGGAAAATGAATTGCTTGGCTACTTAATACTATGCACATCGTGGGGCTCAGCCTCTGCTCCCAAGAACCATGGCTCAGTTAAGGCCAACTTTTGCCAAAAGAGGCCTCTGATTTGGGGTGCTTCGCTCCCCACTTTGCTCCTGGCTTTCAAAGGGCTGACCCCCTCTCTCCCCCAGCTGCAGCTGGAATCATTAAGTGCAGAAAGTCAGCCGGACCCCAGGACTCAAGTCCCACTTATTAAAATGCTGGGCCATAATGAGGGTTAATGAAGCTCCGCTGGTTCCCCAGCCACACTTGAGGCAAGAGAAATAGTCCATGAAATGGCTTGGGCCTGATCCAGGACTGGGACTTAGCCCAAATTCCTAGGATGGGAGAGCAGAAGGACCTCCTGCGGCCCCAGGGCTGAGAATCGTCAGCCTTGGGGAACTCGGAGCTTCCACTTGGGTGCAGGGAGGGATCCAGCAAAACCTCCCACTGTGGGAGTTAAGGGGGAGCATCGCGGGCAGCTGCAAGGTGAGGGGGGCAAAGGAAGCTGATGGGAACTGTCTGGGTCCTGTGTCCAAGAGGCTTTGCTCAGGGACAGGGGTTTGCAGGCACATGCCCAACAAACACCAATGCCCAGAGGCCCCACCCGAAGCAGGGAGCCACGGGCCTGCTGCAGGGAGGGGTGTGAGGATGGGCTGGTGGGATGCGGCTTCCATGCATCCTCCTCCATCACCCCAGTCAGCAGCTGAGCCGTCTGCCCATGTTCCACAGGCAGGATTTTCCCTGGAGTAAGCGGGGGTGCCATCAGGAATTAACCCTCTCTGGAAGAACTGAGGAGTCCCATGCACTGCCTCTGCCGCTCCCTCTCCTCCCATGCACTGGGCTCAGCTCGTAACTGGAGCGGTTCCTCTTCCTGCAGATCCTACAGCCTGCTCCGGGCTGCGTCCCCGGGTGGGCCCGAGGACTGCCGCAGGTCCGGATTGAGATGGACTGC